TTCTTTACACTAGTGCCTTTATTTCCAAAGACAAATTTTATAACATGTGCTTTGGTAGTTGCAAAATTTCGGTTATTCAAAATCAACTTGTTGTTTTTTAAATGTTGCTTCAATTTCAGAAACAGTGAAACAAAAAAGTTTTCGTGGCGTTCGACTTATCTTAAGATGGTCCTCGTATTCCCATATTAAATCAAGAAATCATAATAATAATATATCGAGACAAATAAATGAAAAATCCGCAGAAGGGCGAACCTTGTGCGCGGGTATGAAATCTGTTACAATATCTAGATTGATTTGACAAAAATTAAATGAGCATTTTATTGAAAATAACAGTGTCGTACCGTAACTGTACAAAATGCTGCTTGGTAAATTAAATAAAAATAAAAAAAATGAAAATGATGCTTTTTCCATCCATCTCCTCTACCTGACAATAAAATTACTTTTAAAAAATCCAGCAATAATAATTTTATACTAAATGAGCTAAAATTTAAATATGTATACCTAAATGGCCTTGAACACTAATACGAGCTGCTTCCCACTTCAGTTGGCCCAACTATTGAAATCTTAGTTTGAGGAAAGGTTATTAGTGAGAAAATTCGGTTACTGATCATTAAATTTTTTAATTCTGGGAAATCAAACTCAGAAATTGCAACTTTGTTAGACTTATCGCGGTACAGTGTGAGAAATATTGTTAGAAGATATAACGTGACTGGTTCAGTTAATATTAAGCCACGATATGTGAAAAAAAGTAATATCACAAATACCGACCGAAGAGCATTAAGAAGAATAATCGTGGAAAACAGGCTTGCCAATTATTTACAATTAAGTGCTCTGTGGAGTGTTGGAAGGAGAATTTCGAGGTCTACAACTCATAGAGAGGCCCACTAATTGGGTTTAGCACTTGCAAGGTAAGTTTTCTTATAAAAAAAAAACAGTGAAATATAAACCTTAAAGTTGCACAACTTGTTTATAGGCCAAAGAAAAGCCATTAACCCGACTACAAAAGAGAAATCGGCTTAGATGGGCTAAAGAACACAGACAATGGACATCTCAACAATGGTGTGCAATACAATGGAGTGATGAGGTCCGATTCGAAGTTTGTGTTGGTGAAAATCGCAGTAGAGTTATTCGCAAAAAAATGAAGCATTCCATGTTGACTGTTTGAAGAGAAAAGTGAAATTTCCAGCATCCATTATGGTCTGGGGCAGTATGTCATCAAAAGGAGTAGGAAAACTTCATTTTATTGATGGAAATGTGGATACAAACAAATATTTGACAATTTTAGAAGAATCGCTTTTACCAGTGATGGAAGAATGTTTGACATCCGGTCAAGATTTTGTGTTTCAGCAAGATGATGCAGCATGCCATACCTCAAAAAAGGCTATAAAATGGATGGAAGAAAATAATGTACCACTTTTGAAATGGGTTTCTAGCAGTCCAGATCTGTCACCTATTGAAACTTTGTGGCACGAGATGAAAAAGGCACTACGACAACATCCTGCTCGTACAATCACTGAACTGAGACAAAAGCTTCAAGAAATATGGGATTGCTTTACACCAAATTTTTTCCAAAACTTGGTTAACACTATGCCCCAAAGAATTTCAGCCGTAATAAAAAATAAAGGTGATGTTATCCAATGGTAATCTTTCAATTGTTGCTTTGTTAGTTTATAAAGGCATATTTTGGTACAAATCTTGAAATGGGAACGGGCTCGTAGACTACAGTATATTCAGATAAGAGATAGACCGGATGTAAACAAAAGGTTCGGGTGATTTTCACGCTAACGCCGCCGTCTCGACGTAAAACAGGAGCCCTCATTGGTCAATTCGCAATTAAATGCCTATGCCGAGCGGCAGAGCAGTCGTATCAAGGCAGAGTCACATTCAGGTTCAGACGTGTTACGTATGTCGTGTGCATCATTGCAATTTGATATTTCTTTGGACATTTTTGTTTGTTATCTTATTAAGTTGTTGAGTTTGTCGTTGTTATTGTTATACCTTGTTATTGATTGTTATTGTTATCAACTGCTTGCGCAAAATGCCCAGTAGTACAGATACTGCCGATGAAGTTGTAAACTCCTGTAGTCCACCTAGGAAACGCTCTAAAAAAAGACACCTGAGTGCAGAAATGAAAGAGGTCATTTTGAATATATATAAGATCGAGCGCGAGGAGAACGAGGCATCAACCATCAAAGAAATTGTTGTGAAGGTTTCTCACAAAGTTGGGGTGTGTCGCGCATCAGTGTTTAATGTGTTAAGACAATACAAAAAAAATCACACCTTTTCTGAGCCAATGACCAGTAAACATCGCAAAAGTATTGTTAAATCATTGGATGAAGCTGATAAGCATGCGATTAGGAGGAAAGTGCACGAATTCTTCTTTAGGAATGAAATACCTACTATAGATAAAGTACTGCAGGAGGTAAATGGAGATACAACGTTGCCAAATTTCAAACGATCAACTTTCCATGCGTTACTGAAGCATTTAAATTTCAAATGGAAAAAACGGGGTCGTAACAGTTTACTACTGGATAGAGAAGAAATTGTGCTATGGATGAGGGATTATTTAACAAAAATTGGGAAATATATAAATCAAAACAGGAAGATTTATTACCTTGATGAAAAATGGGTAAACGCAGGACACACTACAAGTAAAGTATGGGTTGATGATTCTGTAACTTCATCCAGGAGGGCCTTTCTAGATGGACTGTCCACCGGATTAAAAAATCCAGCAGGTAAATACGAGTAATAGACAACAATCGGATGTTTTTCAAACCTTGGGAACAAGGTTCTAAACATTAATTCCAGGGGGCAGATAAAACATATTACAAGTAACAAAACTTTTATAACTTTCGATAAAATGCGTGGATGTTTTATTGTCATTTTCATTTGTTAGAACTTTTTTAAGCCATGTTTTTATGTGTTTTCGATATTTCAATAATTTTTTAATATAATCTTAAAATATGTCGAATATTATAAACTTAAAAAAAGTTACTAAGTTTTATATTGTGTACCGTTCCTAATATTTCTAATCATTTTAATTCATACTTTAAGCTTTATAAAGTTATAATTTGTTAATATTAATATTTGCGCGTATTTCAGGTTCCTGATCATTCATTTTTTAAAGGTTTATAACTTTAAATTAAATTGTGAAGCGCTGAGTAATCATACGACGTTCAATATTCTTTCTTTCAATATGACTAAATAATCCCAATTATAGCAATCTGATACTCATGTCTCAATGTTTTTTCGCTGAATGTGATGAAAACATTTGAAAAAGGTTCGCTTATTGAAATAAATCTACACCAGTGAGTACTTCGATTTCCAGGTAAAGGGAAAAGGCTCATTATCTGCCATATTGGCAGTGAGGATGGATTTGTTGTTGACGGTCTGTGGTGCTTTGAGTTTAAGAAAACTGGAGATTACCACGAGGAAATGAATGGCGAAAAAAAATTTTACCGAACTTAGAGGAAAACGCAGTAATTGTGTTGGATAATGCGCCTTATCATTCTCGAAGAATGGAAAAGGTCCCAACAACGGCTTCAAGGAAAGTTGATGTTCAAAATTGGCTCCGCTCGAAAAATATCAACTTTGAAGAAGCAATGCTGAAAGTACAATTATTAAGAATTGTCAAGGATCACAAGGCGGAATATCAAAAATACGCCATTGACGAAATGGCAGCAAGTCAAAATAAAACTGTGCTCCGTCTACCTCCATACCATTGAGCTCATATGGGCAGAGGCTAAAAATTATATAGCTAAGCACAATACAACTTTTAAATTTTGTGACCTCAAAGGACTTTTCAAAGAAGCACTAGAATTAATAACAGCGCAAAGATGGGAAAACTGTATTAAGCACGTGAAAGTCAAAGTTGAAAAGACAATGTGGGAACTGGACAATATTTTAGAGGAACAAGTCGAGACATTCATTATTGACGTTGGTGCTTCAGGCAGTAGCGATGATGAAAGCTCATCAAGCTCATCTTTCCAATAAAAGATGTCGTTCATCAAATTCGGTAAGTTATAAGTAATTATAAAGCTACTGTATTTTTTAATTAATTATTGACATTTTTGAACCCATTTTGGCAAAACCTATTCAAGAATCTACTTTCTGACAATGTTCAACAATGCACATTTTTTTACGTTTTGAACGTTTAAATTTGGTTACATATTTACCTAGAAATCAAAAAATATACTAATCAATATTCTAAAACCAATTTTAAGAGATATACGATTATTTTTAATTTAGGCTAATTTAAACGCCATTTTGAGATTATATTCGACTGTATTTCACCAAACATCAGGCGGCATCCGAAGCTGGAAATCGAAGCGAAAATTTTGAAACCCTTATGTATATTTGCATCATTATATATTTCTTACCCCACCCCCACATGATCCTATATCCATCACCAATCGTATACACATCGAATTGTGCTAATTTACTACAAAGTTACGCAAAGCAGCATCTACTATCTAAAATATGTGCTGCGTTACTCTTAATACGTCCCTGCCGAATGTTACAGCGTTCGATGATCACGTGGTCTTGTTTATGTCCGGTCTATCTCTTATCTGAATATACTGTAGGGTCACGAATCACATTTATTACTTTATTTATTTTTTTATTTATAGTTATTCTTGATTGTCAATTTAAGTTTTGGCCGAGTTGTAAAATACCTTAAGGCAACCCCGCGCCCCATTCAAAATAAAAATATATTTGTAAAAGAATCGAATAAACGTATATTATTATTATCAAAGTCGAGTCATTTATTTAACAGCTTTCCTCTCCTTTGAGGGACCTTTTACGATAAATCTACCAAATCCATTAGATCCACTACATGTGTGCCAAAGTCGCAAATTTCGATTGAAATATTCAAATCGCACCAAAATCATCTTTTGGTCCGCCTATCGCTCTGTTAGCATCAACCGAATATTTTCTCTAGCTAAGTATAGTGAAACATTCCATAGATCGAGATTAGCCCTTAAGCCAGTACGAAAACTAACCATAATCTGGACCGTAGGAATATGTCAGATATTTCCCAGATCGACCAATCTTTTTGAAGTTCTTGTTAGATGAGACTACATCCTTACTATTACCGTTGTTAGTGTTGTCTGTAGATGAAGGTTCAGGTGATGTTAAGCCTTTGTCTGGCGGCGGATGACTAGGTGTTACATCTACAAACATATGTTAAATATTGTCGATATCAATATATCTACAACGTACAAATCTACATTAAACATAATGTTAACCGTTGTATAATGTATGTCTTCGTAAGTTCCGAAACGATACTTCAGATTCATCTCAGAATTTATGTATTGTAAGTTGAGTGATAAGTCTGGCAACGTAGCGCTCGATCTGGCAACACTGGCTTGGAGGGGAGGCAGAGGAACATGTGATCCGTCTTCAGTACAAGTTTGTACTCGCTAGAGTCATTTCGTTGTCCGTAGCGAGTTTTTTCTATTGTGTTGTAAAAATGTGTCGAGAGCCCTGGTTTTCGGAGAGGAGACAGTCGAGTGAAGATGATAAAAATATCGACAGAATCCGAAATCTTGTGCGTCCGGATCGTCGGTTGACAGAATGAGTTAAATTTGATTCACACCATGGTCCTCAGATCAAGAACAACTGGGTGTGGCCTCACGATGGTGCTCCTCGTCACAGCAATGTCAATAAACGAGTTTTTGGTCAGTAAAAACATACATGTGGCTCCTCAGCCTCCTCATTCGCCTGATTTGAGTCCCTGTGACTTTTTTCTCTTTCCGAAGTTGAGACATCACCTCAAGGGATAGTCGAAAACGTTCAAACGGCTGTAACCGACCAGCTGAAGGCTATATATAAAATTGTAATTATATTTGAATACAAAAATTAAAAAAGATCAGTCTCATCATTTAATTTACAGACCTCGTATTTTGGTTATCCTAACTGGTAACCCTACATAGAACAATCACTATGTATCTTAGTATCGGGTCATTTTATTTTTATTTTTATAAGCTTTAGAAATGTTGCCATCGAATCATCCTGTATATGTTATTATGATAGGAATGGCTCAATTTCTTTTACATATTGAAAAAATATACAGGGTGTTTCAGTTTATTGTTGCATAACTTTAAGATTCGATAGAACTTTTAAAATTAATGCATAAAGTCTATATAAACATGGGTCGAAAAATGTGTGGATTCCGAAATACAGGGTGTTTAAATTTACTTTCGAAAATAGTTTTTTTTTAATATTTCGAACAATATTTGATGTATAATAGTGAAAATTGGTATATAAGGGTTTTTTGGTACGACAAACAAACCATGGGCATAGTTTTACTGTAGCCGCTAGAGGGCGCTCTCTACTGTACCTGTAGTGTATTAAAATGACCGAAAATTTTTTCTTAGTGCAATTTTTCGCTTTTTGAATAAAAAAACTGATTCTTCGCACTTTTCAACATAAAAAAGCTCTCCTGTGAGTTTTCGTTATAGTTAGCCGTTTTTGAGATATTTCGATTTTTAAGGTTCGGTGCATTTTTAATTATTTATGGGAGGAAAATAATATTTTTTTTACATTTTCGATTTGGGCATTACAAGTAATTAAGATGATCGTTTAGATTGTGTTTTTACACACAGCAATAATTCCTAACTCCAAATAAACACAAAAATACACAATTCACATCTACAGTAAAACTATGCCCATGGTTCGTCTTTTCGTACCAAAAAACCCTTGTATATGAATTTTCACTGTTATACATCAAATATTGTTCGAAATATTTAAAAAAAAATATTTTAGAAAGTAAATTTAAACACCCTGTATTTCGGAAGCCACGCATTTTTCGACCCATGTTTATATAGACTTATGCATTAATGCATTAATTTTAAAAGTTCTATCGAATCTTAAAGTTATGCAACAATAAACTGAAACACCCTGTATTGTATGCCATAATGTTGTGATTTTTAGGGTGGCAATGTAAAATTGTAATATTAGAATGAAAAAATTGAAAAAACAGTCTCATCGCTTAATTTCAGGCCACATACGTTAATTTCTAATTCTTTAGCCTTTATGTCCAAAGCCAAAAAGTAACCAAGCACAATACAAACTTCGATGTGTTATAACATGTTGTGCAGACCTTCAGTTATTCAAAATCAAGTCATTTTCTCTTAAATATTGCTTTCGCTTTCTTTCACAATAGTGAAACAAAAAAAGTTTGAACTATTCGAAACTTTCGAGACATACATGATATTTCGTTGTTAAAGCTTCTACGCGAAAAACCTACTTGTTTTTCACATTTTCGTTGTTATTGCCTTTACTAACTACAATGTACAACATGCCTCAATCTACGAAATATCTTACCCGAAAAAAAAAATATGGAAACCCTGACTGACTGGCATGGACCGTATATACAGGGCGGCCCAGGATATGAAAGCGATAACCCTGATTTGTATAGACAGTATAATAATGACTCATAATAATATTTTAAAGGAATTAAATTATTTAGCTGAACAAATATATTTTTGTTTTATTTTGATTTACAGATTTACACTGCAGAAGATATTCAAAAAGTTCCTAGAGTTTTACGAGTCGCTGAATACGAATCTGTTACTAGAATTAGTCAGGCTTTCCAAGAATATCTAAATTAGCCATATCGTTCTTCATTTCTCTTTTTCTGCTTTCGCTTTCAGAAGCGCTGCTTAAGAACGCACCTTCCTGCCCCCATCTTCAGAATGAATGAATCCAGTATGGATACCGCCCCACCCCCACTTGGGAGAGCAGGTCCACATCTATGGCCCTCTCGCTCGCCCGATATGAATCGCTTGGATTATTTTCTTTGGGGACACTTTAATACAAAGCTCCTGTCGAAAGTGAAGAGTGAAAGGAATAAAATCATTAATAATTAATAAAGATTGCTCAAAGTCAGTGGCGTACACTTTTTGTCACAAATATTCGTTCAGATCCCGCTTGAGTCGCCACTGTACTTGATAAATCTAATCAATTTCGGGATAAATTAGCTCCTTAATGTTATAAATACCGCTGCCAAACTACAACGAGATTTGCTATTTGAGATATTTATGAAAAACCATTTCCTTTTTAAATTTGAATTTCCCTGTATTGTTTTATATCAAAGAACTTTGAACCGTTCACCTATCACTCCTTGAGTACACCTTTTACTAGTCAGGTTTTCACTCTGCTAACATGAATCGAATCTAGTCGAAGAATGATTATCCATGGACCAAGGCATGTCGTTCGCACTAGACAAATAATGAGACCTATTTTTTCTTGAAAAATAGCTACAATGATTGATTCGAAGCTTTGTTAAATGAAGTTTGAAAATACCGTATGTTTTGTCATCCGTCGCGGGCGACTCTCCTTCTTCCTTCGGTGATTCATCGGGCGCCACCTGCGCCAAACTTTGATCCTGATCAGCTTCAGGTATGAAAGTTTCAACGTCTCTGTTCGGAGATTGTCCCTCAACACTGACACTTAAAACTAAAAACAGTCCGAAAACGTAGTACTTTGTACCCATTTCAAAGGCGTGGACGCCCTTTTTGATTACGAAAAAAACGGAGTCACCATGCGCGATGATACGCGATTGTCGTTTGTTTCATCGCACCTGCGATACAAATTATCAAGAGAGATAAAAATGCGTTATCTTATAGTTTGTTTTAGTAATGACAAATACTAGGTAAATATCTCAAGTGTGGAGATAAAGCTGATATGGTGTCGTATTGCAACGAATTTACTGGATTTTTGTAACGTTCGTTATAGGATGATTCAGATTCGATGGAAAATCAAGCTTCGTAAATCTCAGTCATTACCTCTAGTCGAGAAATCATCATGTCCTATTGAGAAGCAGTTTTTCTGTCTCTAGGTAAATAATAATGTCATTTAAAACTGCCCTAAAAACTTCGTTATGTCAGTTTGACAACTAAGGTTTATATTCCGAAATATTTAAAAGCAAACGTGGAAATAAATTGATATTAGGAACAGCTCATGTAGCTACACTTTTTGATTATAAATAAACTCGAAAGTATTGGGAAGCGGTTTTTAATGCTACCACACTTGAATTTAGGCAGCTTCAGAAATAGTTTTTAAGCGGATTTTGAAAACCTGAGAACTGTGAAGATTTTGAATCCTGAAAATTCAGAAAACTTTCAAAATTTCGAAATTTTGAAAATTTGGAAATTCGAAAATCTTGTAGATTTGTATGGTTTTAAAAGAATTTTGATTTTTGAAAAATTTGAGAATCTTGATATTGAAAATTCAGAAATCTTGGAAATCTTTTGAAAATTTTATCTTGGAATTTCTGAAAATTTTGAAAATTCTGAGGTTTGTGAAAATTTCGAAAATTGAAACTTTTGAATGGTTTGAAAATTTTGAAATTATTGATTGTTTTGGAAATTTTCGATTCTGAACATTTTGAAAATCTTGAGAATTTTAAAAATATTGAAAATTTTGTAAATTTTCAATTCTGAACATTTTGAAAATTTTGAGAATTTTTAAAATATTTTAGAGAGAAGTCTGAAAGATTTGTAATTTCCAAGAATTTTGGGAAATTTTGAAATTTTGAAGGTTGTGAATCTTTTGAAATAAATGTTGATATATGAATTTTGAAAATTTTGGAGGGTTTTCCAAATGCTCAAAATTGTGTAAATTTTGAGATTCTCGAAATTATTGCAAATTTTGAAATATCGGAAATTTTGGAAATTTTTAAATTTGAATTTGAGAATGTTGATAATATTGAAAGTACAGGAATCTTGTAAATTAAGAAATGTTTGAAAATTTTGATAATCATGGAATTTCTGAAAATTTTGAAGATTCTGAAGCTTGAGGAAATTTCGAAACTTGAAACTTTTGGAAATTTTGAATGGTTCGAAAATTTAAAAATTCTTGAAAATCTTGTAAATTTTCAATTCTGAACATTTTGAAAATTTTGAAAATATTTTAGAGAGAAGTCTGAAAGATTTGTAATTTCCAAGAATTTTGGGAAATTTTGAAATTTTAGAAGTTTTTTAAACTTTGAAGATATTAAAAATTTTGGAAATTCCGAAATTTTTCAACACCTTTGAAAATTTTTAAGATTCTGAGTTGTGAAGTCTTTGAAATCTGAAAATTCAGAAAACTTTCAAAATTGCGATATTGTGGAATGTGGGAAATTCGAAAATCATGAAAATTTTGATGGCTTTAAGAAAATTTTGAATTTTTATAAATTTGAGAATCTTGATAATATTGAAAATTCAGAAATCTTGTAAATTAAGAAATGTTTGAAAATTTTGATAATCTTGGAATGTCTGAAGATTTTGAAAATTCTGAAGTTTGTGAAAATTTCGAAACTTGAAACTTTTGAAAATTTTGAGTAGTTTGAAAATTTTAAAATTTTTGATTGTTTTAAAAATTCTCAATTCTGAACATTTTGAAAATCTTGAGAATTTTAAAAATATTGAAAATTTGGAAAATTTTGAAAATCCTGGAAATTCTGAAAATGGTAAAAATATTGAACCTTCGAAATTTTTTATATTTTGAAAGTATTTAAAAATTTAGAATATTTTGAAAATCTTGAAATTTTGAAAGTTGTGAATCTTTTGAAATAAATGTTGATACATGAAAAGCTCGCCAATTTTGAAAATTTTGGCGGGTTTTCTAAATGCTGAAAATTGTGTAAATTTTGGTAATTTTTGAATTTCGAAAATTTTGATGGCTTCATAAAATTTTTGGATTTCAACAATTTTGAGACTCGAAATTGAAAATTTTGAAATATCAAATTTTGAAAATGTTTAAACTTGAAACTTTCGAAAAATTTGAAAATATGAATGTTTTGAAACTTTTGAAATGCTAGAAACTTTTAAGAAGTCTGAAAATTTTATAATTTTCAAGAATTTTGGAAAATTTTGAAATTTTAGAAGTTTTGAAAACTTTGAAGATATTAAAAATTTGGAAATTCTGAAAATTTTAAACACCTTTGAAAATTTTGAAAATCCTGAGTTGTAAAGATTTTGAAATTTCAAAATTGCGAAATTGTGAAACCTGCGAAATTCGAAAATCTTGAAAATCACGATATTTTTTAAAATTTTGACAATCCTGGAATTTCTGAAAATTCTATAGTTTGTGAATATTTCGAAACTTGAAACTTTGGGAATTTTGAAAGGTTTGAAATTTTGAAATTCTTGAAAGTTTTGGAAATTCTTAATTCTGAACATTTTGAAAATCTTTCAAAAAAAAATAGAAAATTTTGAAGATTTTGAAAATCCTGGAAATGATGAATACTCTAAGAATTTTGAAAATTCTGAAAATGGTAAAAATATTGAACCTTGAAAATTTTTTATATTTTGAACGTATGTTAAGATTTTGAATATTTTGAAAATCTTGTCAATTTTAAAAGTTGAGAATATTTTGAAAATTTTGGTGGATTTTCTAACTGCTGAAAATTGTGTACATTTTGAATACTTGAATAGAGCTTAAAATATCGATAATCGAGCACATTTTGCTTTCTTCCTCAAATAAGCGGTATTTGTTTAAAATTCAATTAGAAATCATTCTCAAACTGCACCCAACCCCCAAGGAACGTCTATAAATAACTCTCAATCATCCAACTAAACACCCCCATTATGTGGTGGGGGATAACAGAAGAGGTTGGTTGCCATGCCGGCCGAAAATCTGACCCACCACCAGACTAGCATCGGCCACCAGCCGCCACCATCTGGGCCACTGTTGGAATGGTCGATACAGCCTTGAAAAGTGGGTCACTAGGATGGATGAAGCTAGGTGCATTTAGGTCGCGCCTGCCACTCGCCGGCCGCCGGCAAGCGGCAGCCACTTCTAGAGTCGATGACCTGAGCTGCTGATTCCGAATAGCTCGTAGTCCGGTACAATGCACTTTTTTTTTGACCTGATCCTATCTTTGAGGAAATTGCCTCCGGAAAACAACATACAAGATGAGGATCTCAAAACCTGTGGGAGATACAGCTTAGGTTATAACGGGTGTTTTTTTTCGAGGTATACTTTCGAAGATGGCGACCGATTTGACAGCTGTCAAGTGATTTATTCTCAGTTTGGTTGGGCAATTCATCATGAATAGACTGACGCCTGAACAACCCTTGCAAATTGTGCAGTTTTATCGTCGACAAAATCGTCCATCCGCCATCGAGCACAGGAATTGGATCTGTGTCCATCCACTTTATGGAAGATTTTGCGGAACGATCTTGGTTTGCGTGCTGACAAAATCCAACCCGTGCAAGAATTGAAGCTCGTGCTACAATCGATTTATTGAAAGACACGTTTGGTGACCGCCTAATTTCACGTTTTGGACCTGTGAATTGGACTCCAAGATCTTGTGATTCAACACCGATAGACTATTTTCTGTGGGGCTGTAAAGTCATTGGTCTATGCGGATAGGCCACAAACGCTTGACCATTTGGAAGACAACATTCGCCATGTTATTGCCGATATACGGCCACAAACGTTGGAAATAGTCACCGAAAATTGGACGTCCAGATTGGCAGAGCTATGCCAGAAATCATATTTAAAATGTAGTGCCACAAGATTATCTTTCGAATATAAAAAAGTCATGTCAATCGAATAGTCCATCGTTGTTTTATTGCAATTTAAAGTTATATACATCTAACAAACACTCTTTATTAGGAAAAAGCGGCGTTCTTTGAGGCGTATTTACATGCCGATGAGAAACTTCATGGCTCACTGAGATATTTGGTACAAACTAAATTTCGGCTAGCACATTTTTATTTTTTCTAACTTTGTTGTAGGAGATATCAAACAACTAAGGAACATTTTATCACATGTTCCATTTATTTTCTTGGTATAAAGAAACATTCGTTTTTTCTGATTTCTTTTTTTTAAGTAAGCGTTGCAAACAAATGCTTGCCTTGACGTAAATACTGGTCACCAAGTAACGTAGTCCTAATAGTTTTGGCATAAAATATTTCTTGGATTGTTTTAATGAAGACATTTATTTAGACACTAAATAGTTATCATAAATTACAACTCAGTACTTAACTAATACTACTATCGAATTATGTGGAGTAGCAAATTCTGCTTTACCAGACGCAACTTTCTTCGAATTTCTTTCATGGGCCATTGATGCTAGGTCAGGCCAGAACAGGATATGGTCATTAACGTGGACAAACTGACTCAATTTGGATAGGCAGTTATCAATATAGCTCTGACTATTCAAAGTTTCACCAGTCACTCTTCCCATAAAAGCTTGGGAAACACGCCTGTTAAAGGTTGCGCACCAGACAAGGATTTTATCTGCAGATTTCGCTTTATGTTTTTATCTTATATTGTCAGGCCATTCGACAGATTTCGGCTTTGGGTACCCGCAAAACCAGCTTGTAGATACTTTTTATTTCTAATTTATACGACATCTAAAAGCGAAAAATTTGAAATAAATAAATGTCAACTGACAGCAAATTAAGTAAACAAACTTTTGCTTCCAAAGGCAACTTGATATTATTTTATGTTTGTTACGCCCTAGAGAACGCAGCTTTTTCCTGATTTAATCTAAGCTGTATGTCCCGCAGGTATTGAGAACCCCATGCATAGTATACTTATCTTGGACTTGTATTCTATATATACAGGGTGGCCCATCCATGTGCGGACGGAATATTACTCATAAACAAATACATTTTGGGAA